TTTTTTTGTTTGGGATACTCATTCCTTCATCCTGAACCTGCGTCCTTTCCCTGAACTTTGGATGAACATTTCACACCAGGTGTTTGGGACTAATGACCCAAGCCTGTCCTTTACATGAACCTCAACGATTTGACGCCGTTAAATCACACATAAAACGTGGAAAACATGCACACATGACATACGATGTGTGGGCCAGAAGCAGTGTGACATTTATACACAGGTGAGTGCGTACGGTAAAGGCCACTTAAGAGTGTTTCTAAACTCTTTCAAGACCAAATATAATTTTCTAGAGAAATTAACAGAAGCTAAAGCGGTTCATATGCATTCATAGCAAAAGATGACTTTTTGCTGCCCTGTATTTCTAGCGAGTCATTAGAATTTCTTCTCCAGTTAAAGAAATTAATCATGAAACTGTGATGTTACAGAAAACAAAGTTAAAACTCTCAGTATTTCTTTCATTTTGATTTGAAAAAATCCTGCTGTTTACATCGTGTGTCAGTTTGTAATTAAATGGAAGGAGGTGGATGGTCGGTCTCTGCGCCCTGATACCTGCCCAGGACTCACTGAGCGTGAAACAGACGCAGCAAGCGACCCAGAAAAACCTTCCGTGAAATCTGGGCCGCTCTAGCATTTTATATGATGTGACTTCATACAGTGTGAATGCTTGACGCTGCTGTGACCAGCAGGTATGAATGTGCTTTTGATACAGGAAAAAAAGTCAGGATTTTTGATGAATTTAAAGCACCCTTTCCTCCATTTTTCTCTCTGAAGACGGGTGAAATGTTTAACGTTTCAGGTGCTGTATTATTAATGGGGATGTTTTATTTACGGAGGAAATGAAGCATTGGCTTCGCAGGTAATTGTAGCCACCCTCTTGGATCCGCAGGGATCAGCCTGTATGCTCAAGGACAGCTGGGCGGAGATGTAACAGAGTTTGGGGTCACTCTGAGAGGCTGAACAAAATCAAAACTAATGATATTTTACAGTTTGTGTCTCTTCCGCCGCGTGTAGAAGGATGCTGACAGATGCTGTGAATTCAGCAGTGAATCAGCTGTTAGATGTCACTGGTGCAGAACTATTTTTTTTCTTGTTGTGTCGCCAGCCTTCATTATTTGGATGCTTTCCAGTCGAGTCACTGGTCCAGGACGAAGGGATTTCAGTTGTGTTTGGATGAAATATTAATCCAACCACTGAATTCCACTGTGCTGGCATTTAACAAAGCCATAAATACAGGTTCTCCTGTTCTCCATCCCGGAATAGAGCAGATGTTATCTAATGCTGTTATCAACTGTCGTCTCTTGAGACGCAGAGTCTGTAGTTTTAAAGAAAAATCTGCATTATTCAGTGTTTTCACCTCCTGCATAGCTGAAAAAAGGCTGATAGTAGTGCGATCCAGTAACAGAAAGACTTTAAATTTAGCATCAAAAGTCTTTAAGAAGTCATTTCTTCGTATCAGTAAAAACAAGATTAGTGGGCTGTGAGTGCAGATGATGAAATGCTCCAAATTTTGGGGGCATTTGCAGCTGTTAATTTATGCATCATCCACTCGAGGGACAGAAGGCAGTTACTGATTTTTAAAACAATACACAAATACCATAAAGGTCTTCCACACTGATGTGATTTTGTTTTAAAAAGACCACCTGCTCTCATTCCTAATGCATCAAATACAGCTGCTTTCCTCCAGGCTTCTGGCTCTTGTGTTCAGGCAGTTGTAAGACACAATAAAATGTTCATAAAGGATCCCACGTTTAGGGTGAACTCACACGAGCTAATGATACACAAGCATGTTTGATCCCTAAAGTCCAGTTGTTTTTTCTGATTGGATCTAATGACAAGTCTTAAGGAACTTGTTACATACAATCCTGTAAAAAAGTGTTTTTCTCCTTCCTGATTTCTTAGATTGTTGCATATTTGTCACCTTATATATTTCAAATCATCACACAAATCTTAATATTAGACACAAATAACCCAATTTAATACAAACCTTCCACACCTGTGTGAAAGAACAGCTGCTTCCTAAACACAATAACTGCTCGTCTCAGTTTTGGCAAGAACTCCAATCAAGCATGTGCGATAACTGGCAACGAGACTTTCACAGCACTGTGGAGGAATTTTGGCTCCCTCTTCTTTGGAGAATTCTTTTAATTAAGCCACATTGGAGGGTTTTCCAGCATGAGCCATACCAGAGCATCTTGATCTGATTTTTAAGACTTTTGACCAGGCTACTTCACTATTTCGAGTCATTCAGAGTGCTCAAAGAGTGGATTACTGTTCTGTTACATATCGAAGTCCTGAAGCAGCAAACAGCTCCAGGCCATCACACTTCCACCACCATGTTTGACCGTTGGTATGATCTTCTTGTTAGTTTTACGCCAATGCAACAGGATTGAAAGTTCAGCTTTTGTCTCGTCAGTCCACAGAGTATTTTCCTAAAACTGTGTGAGGGCTCTCACTGTGGTTCACTGGAGTACCTTAGAAATGGCTTTGCAACCCTTTACGGACTGACAGATATCAGTGATGTTGTTTCTCAGCTGTTTCTTTAGATCATCGTATGATGTGCCGCACTTTAGTCGGGCAGCTTCTGTTTAAGTGGTTTCTTGATTCAACAGGTCTGGCAGTAATCAGGCCTGTGTGTGGCTCGTGAAATTAAACTCAACCTCCAAAAAAAAAAAATGCAGTTAATCATACAGTGAGCGACGAATCAAGAATTATCTTTTTTTCCCTTTACACTGGACCAGCTCTGTTTGTGTAGCTTCTTTCCCTTTAAAACAGACTCGTTATGTTAAAACTGCATTTGCATTTAGTCTAAAATTTAAAATTTGAGGTAAAAACTTTTTCCCAGCTCTGTCAAGATTACTTCTTTTAACTGTTAGTAATACTTCATATTACAGAATCACCTGCTGAGAACGGCAACTTTTTTGTGCTTTTGTTGAACTTTGGCACAAAAGTTTGCATACTTTGGTTATCCTGACCGAACTGACATCACCTTGCTGCATATCGAGTTCATATTGGTAGCATCTCCACTATATAACCAGCAGCAAGCTTATTAATTTCCTTGGAGTGAAGCTAGCCGGATGCTGGTACCGCGGGTCTTTCATTCTTTGCATCCTCCTCCTCAGCACTGGAGCTGCTGTGCTGAGTGTCTGTCCTTGATCAGATGTGAAGAAGAGCTCTTTGCAGCTGACAGACACTTATTATCACCCAGGCACAATTTGCATTTCACTGCAATGTCGTTTTACTTTTCATCCACAAAAGCTTTCAGAGTGATGCGAGTGCTTCTGTGACGTAAAGGCTGTCCTTTCACTGACATTAGCACGCAGCTACCTGCTGAGGAAAAGGACACAAATATACGTTTTCGCTTTTGTTTTGTTTTGTTGGACCAAAAAGACAGTGGAAGTGTGGGAAATATATTTCCACATTTCTTATGTGAACTATGTGGTTCCAGCCAGCCTTTAAACACTGAATCATTGTTGGCTGACCGTTTGTTGTTACTTGGCCGCCTGCTTGACGTCCTCCCAAGACTTTAAAGCAACGGAAAACTTGATCATGAGAAATGTTAAAGTCATCTTTTTTTTTATCAGAAAAGAAAATCTAGGATGAGTAAGAAACCCCAAAAACAAATATATCAAAAGCTCATACTCACAGTGTCTTGCTGTCATTGGAGGACTGATAAAAATAGTCTTTGTACACGGAGTGAACTTTGTGTGGATGTTTTCACTGATTATGCTGCTCTCTTGGATTTGCTTTACAGTGACTCTATTTGTGTCTTACTTCAGTCCAGGTTCATAGTTGGTCCAAACTTTTTACCAGTAATTTAATTGAATTCAGTTTTATTTACACAGTGTCAAATCACAGCAACAGTCGCCTCAAGGTCGACCCTACAATAATACATACAGAGAAAAACCCAACAATCATATGACCGCCTATGAGCAAGACCTTTGGCGACAGTGGGAAGGGCCATCTGCTGTGATTGGTTGGGGTAGCAACCAGCAGTATGTTTCTGCCTACATCGGGAAAAGGATGGCTAACGGCTTGGCTCGACAGAGGTGGTTAAAATCTTAAATCACATTTTAAACTTAAAATTGGGTTTAGAACTTCTCACTCCTGTTGCAAGCTAGTAAAGCTAGGCTAGTCTACACTTTCTCAGGGAGGCAGACCTCCGGACCTGAGTTTGTGGGAAGGTGCAGAGCTTCATATCATGAAACTACGAAATCTGTTTCACTTGGGCCCGATCTCCACATCCACACCCGTCTTTATAAAAAAGTACTACACCAGCTGATATTACAGAGTATTATGTGGCCTTAATGGTAACAAAGTCGACTTGGATGTGGCAGAACAGGATTGCCAGATGTGTTGTGATGTTGATGTTTGTCAGATGAGGTAAGACGCCGTTAGCTCGTGCTGCTCGTTGTTGATGCTGGGAGTGGAGAGGGCATTGAGTCAAAGCCCACCGTCTAAGTGTTGCATCCTTTGAATTTTTATGGAAGGTTCTTAACATAGCAGTCACTCCGAAGGCTATCAGAGGCAAGGCGGTCATGCCATGTCTTCCAAGTTACATCACAATTCGCCAAAGCATGCCCAATAAAATCTTCTCAATCACGAATAAAGTTGTATGTTTAATGTGTGCGTGTCAGACTGAAAGAGTAGGACATATTTGATTGACCTCTGTGACTTTCCTCTGTTTGCAGGTGTGTGTCATCATGAGCCTCCTGCCATCAGCCTCGTTAGCAGATCTGACATGTGAAGCTCTGCTCATGCTGTCGGGGAACGTCTCGTGTAAGTTCTGGACAAACATCAGCTGGATTTTTATTACAGCAGCACGGCTACAGCAGCTGTTACAAGCTTTTAAAAGGCGCTCATTTCCCAGTACTGTCCAGCCAGTTTGTTCTAGCTGCCCCACTGTTAGTACACTTGAGACTGAATTGATTTTCAGTCTTTTCCATTTCATGGCCATAACCACTAAATGTCAAACCCTCATCCTCAGTCACAACTTCCCCCCTTGTGGATATTAGAAAACCGTTATTTTCCTACTATTCCGTTTCCTCGCAGACCTCTGCAGCACATCCAGAGGAGTCACACAAGCACGCACAAATGCACAGGAATGATGTTCTTGTTATTTGCCCCAGGATACAGTCATAAAATCATTCCAGGTAGCTCTTAACAGAGTAATGATAACGCTCTGTTATCATGCAGTCACCCTGCTCAGCTGAACCGATTTCATTCGCTTCATAATTCATCAAAAATTATCTGCAGAGGAAATTAAATTATTATTTTTAATTATCTTTATTTGTTTTGGTAAATCTGTTAAGACGTTATTTAAATAAAAATGTTCATGACTCATTATCTGATGTCAACAGTCCAAAACCCCAAAATATCCAGTTTATTAAGCTATAAAATTATTAAACCAATAAAAGATCGCATTCTTAACTGGAATTATATGGGTTTTTTTAATGGGGGCAAACCACAGAAACAGAAATAGTAATGAAAAGAATTTCTCATTAAGTCGACTCTGTTCCCTGTAGAAACAGTGTTTTTTTGTTTGTTTAAAAAAATGTGTTAACATAACATGACTACACAGTTATTTTCTGTCTTATGCTTCTGCTATTTATGAACTATGGATTTTGGCAAGCTGTCGCTCCAATCTTGGCCAATGGAGACATGTGTTACATTTTTAGTCCCAGGCCTCGAGATTCAACTCAGTGGCATGCAAAACTTGCGTCACATCCATATGTCACATGTCGCATTTATATTTAGTTAAATGCAATAAAATTGAGTTTGGATATGATAATTACGTTCATGCAAATCTTTTTTTAATTGCAAGCATCGAATCTTTGGTTGCAGAAACAGGAGTTTTGCCTGTTGATTATCTAATTTTCAGTTCACGGGTGACAGACACAGGTGAAATCAAATGGGCCCAAGCAGTAAATCATATGTTAACCTGTTCAAATTTCCTATTTTCCATATGCAAAGAAAGAGAAGTAAATTCTGACACCAGCCTGAGAGGTTAATGTGTGATTTTATGTAAGTAAGCAAGAATACACTCAACTACTAAGCAGCTACACTCTATTACACTCTAATAATACTTACATCACAGCTCCACATCTGGAAAACTGGTACATTTTGTTTTTAAACTTCACCTTCCAAAGTCTTCCAAAGTCCCACTCGACCCTCTGGGCCCTGCGTTTGACATCCCTGATCGAAACAAAAGTACTGGGACATATTTCTGAACCTTTAAATTCACTTGTTTTCTGTCCCAAGGGTGCATAAAATCCCCAACAAAGCCATCTGCCTTTATTTGTGAAAGAATCTGTGAAATTACACCACGGCATAATGGACAGAAATCTTGAAGCTGTGATCAGATGACACCCAAATCCAGTTTTAGCTTTTCTGGTCCACCCGCCGTGTTTGAGAAATGCAGAGTATGACCCAAAGAGCACCATCCACACAGTCAAGCATGGAGGTGGAAACGTTATGCTTTGGGGCTGTCATTCTGTTAAGGGTATGGAACGACTTCAACACGTCGAGGGGGCCGTGTACCGTAAAATCCTGGATGAGAACCTTCCCTCATCCAGAATCATAAAGGTCGGAAGATGGGTTTTCCAGCAAGACAATATCACCAAGGCAACAAAGGGGCAGCTAAAGAAGTCATACAGTGGCCTAGCCAAGTCATATCATGCAAATCTATTTATAACTTTTATATAATATGTGTGTTTTTTCTGGCTTTTTGTCCAATTCTCTTTTTCTCATCATTAAAATGAAACTAACAAAAAATTAGAACTTGTTCATTCAGCCGGGGATCAGCAGGAGATTATTTCCCTCACTGTACGTCAGCCTGTAACCTTTAAACGGTTAAAGCTACCCTGCTTTTAAAAATGTAAAACAAAATCCTTTTATGCATATGAACAAATGACCAGTGGCAGCTTTTATGCACTTTTCATATTTTACTTTGTTTCATTCATTTTCTTGCCACACGTGGGTGTGAAAAGTGGTTTGGAAACCTCAAATGAAAGCATTAAAATTAAGTGTCACCTTTCCCCCTGCAGAACGTCCTTATCTCCGGATCCTTCTTATCTAATTCCTCTTGAGTTATTACAGAAGTAATAGTCTGACCCTCGGGGCATGTCTGGATTCATATTTGCTGCTACCGTCCCCTTATTGCTGGAGGAAAGGTCTGTCATCTGTGTTTACCGTTGCCCTTTCGTGCTCACCCTTTGTAGCTGTTAAGCTGAATCTAATGAGATTTTCATTGCCTCTTCTAAACTGAGCAAACAATGATTGAGGTTATTGATGAAGCTGTTTCTCTCTGGGTTGCAGTGCAGTCCCTGGCCGCCACCTGGAACCAAACCCTGAGTAACGCCACAAGCCAGTGGAGCGGTGAGTTGAGACGCGTGTGAAACCGATTCCCCGCACACTTACTGCAGAGCTGAGTTGTTGTTAGATACCCCGCAAGGGGAAAACAAGTTTGATCGGAACTCAGATTATAAAGGACTAACATCAAAGAGGAAAACAATGCTGGAAATAGACGTGGCGTAGTGCCACAGGAGACGACGTTCAGCTCGGCAAAGCACAGGAGTAATCATTAAATCCTGTGTACACAAACAGCTCATTCTGATACCATATTTGTTGCCAGGATCTTTGGAGCATTATTTGGATTTCATGACATCTATATGCGGTTATGAAACATGACGGGAATGCGTGCACGTCCGTGTCTGACGCTTTTCTGTCCCCGCGCTTCAGGCTCGGGAATCTACTGTGAAACCTCCATCGATGGGATCGGCACCTGCTGGCCCAGGAGCAGCGCGGGGCAGCTGGTGGCGCGACCCTGTCCTGAGATGTTTTACGGCGTCCGGTACAACACCACCAGTAAGTCAATAAGCTGTCACCTCCTGCCCGCCTGCCTGCAGAAAAAAGCAAACCCAGACACAACTGATTCAAAACATGATTTAATACGATCCCTGCACCCTGCTTCGCCCTACCCCCACACTCAACGTCCCCTTGGGCAAACCCTGTTTGCGTAATTGTTTATACAGAAATTAGCATGAGCATACAAATTAGCAAAAGACGCAGAAAAGAGAAAAAAAAGTGTACACAAGTGCAGATAACACACCATGAAGTGTCAAAGCTCAAAACAAAACATGACGAGGCGAGGCGAGGCGAGCACCCGCTGTGAAAAATGATGCTTTTGTATGAGGACTCAAATGATTCCAAAAAAAAGAAACGCAGAGAGAAAATCTAAAGATAAATCACCGCTGTCTGAGACGCTTAAGCCTATTAACTCTCCGGGACTCTCGACAATTGATTGTGTTGTTTCTTTTTTTTTCATCTTGGAAAATTAATAAAACGCTAAAAAATGAAACTACAATTTACTTTGTGGCCCATTTGCATATAAACTATTGTTATAATTTAAAAGGCTTTTTGACAGTAGCAAGAGAGACAGGCGGGATTAAATAAAAAAGGAGGGGTTCAAACAATGGAAACATCGAGGAACAGGAGAAAAATTAGTCTTCATATATTTCCACAAAAAAACCGAAGCCCGGCTCCTAGAAGTGACTTTATTTATGTGTCTAAATCAGATAGAAGAGGTGGCTCATGTTTCTGCCAAACTATTCTTCAGCTCATCCTTAAAAAAGTTTCTTCTAAGGTCAAACTCTAAGTGCAGATAAAACACTGTTTGCCCTTAACTTATGAGTTAGGAGGTTGTTTATGTTGTGGCCCTTTGGGAGCTGTCAGTCAAACTCGTGCCACTCAGAGGAATGGAGCCCTCGCAGCATTCCTAATGTATCTTCAAAGATTTTTTTCAGCAATTTAAGGGTACAGAGCCCTTATTTAAACAGTGAAGCCTCAAAAATGTGAAGCTAGGCTTCAGCAACAATCAGAGACTAAGATCGTGAAACCGTTTAGTTATTTTCCCTGCAGGATCATTTTTTTCCCAGATAGTGTGAGAATACTTGCTATTATCTTCTTAAAACTCAATGTTGCATGTTTAAAATTGCTAATTTTCTGCTACAAAAACCCACAGACCACAAGTATATTCAGCTTTCTGTCATAAATGACAAAGAAAAATGTGTACGTGTGCTGCATTTGTACTTGTTTTGAAGTTGTGACTTGTTTTCTCAGAGACCCTTTCGCCACTAACTTCAGCCATAATCACTTGTTTTTAACACATTATTGGATATTTTATCACCGCAGTGAAGGCATTTCTAGTGCAAACAAGGTCACAGTGTTTTCAGCTTGACCAAAGACCCTTTAGCATTCACACATATTGAAAGCTTGCAAAGCATTTTGCAGTGAAAATAGTCTGCAGCACGTAGTGATTTGACATGTGTGTTCCCTTGTGTTGTGTGCCCAGGACCTTTAGTCTTACATCCTGAAGGGTTTTACAGTTTGAATCATGAGGCTTTGTGCTTTTTGTGCTTTTTTTTGCTATTCAAAGTATGACAGCAGGACCTGCACTGTTGGATACCCACCCAAATAATAACACAGGTGCCACTGAAGTTTCCCAATTTCTTGAATCAATGAGGAAATTTTGCTTCTGCGCGATGTGAAAAATCCTAAAATTGACGTAAATGCTCATGCTTCGGTCTCTTAAACAACAGCAGTGCTACCAATAACACTTCTGCGCTATAGACCAGGCGTGGCAGGGCATTGGTAAAAATCCATGTCTGCTTACTGGAGCCATCTAATGTCACCTGGAGGCAGACTCAAAAATATGTGGAACAGCTAGTAATGCGGGCCACTCCTGTTCTTGTTTGTGTGGCTGTTGGCACAGACTGTATGTAAAAGACAATAGGAAACCTCTGGAGCTTAAAAATGAAGCCAAAAAGAACCACAGTTCCATTAATGACCACTTGAGGAAGGCTCCAACAGCGAGTAAGCGTGTCAAAATGTCCAACTTTACAGCAGAAACAAGCATCTTTATGTTGGTCCTCACAACAACTCTGAGAAAGTTGCTTTTTTATAAACGTATCCACCTGCATACTAGAGTTGATTGGTAGGTTTCCTGATACCTCGGACTCTGCACGGTCTCATCTACTACTTCAAGTCATTAAACTGGCACTCTCCACAGTCTGAGTGCTGTTTGGAGCTAATACAGTGGCTCACTGGGTGGTACAGACCATGCAAAAAGTTCTAGAAGGTGGCGACTTCTCTGGTTGGAAAAACGAAACATGGTTATGTAGACGTCTACGGACAACGTCCCCTGGCACCATCGCACTGTGAACTCTGTCTGTAACTAGTGTCAAGTTTTATTAAATTTAACATGAATTTAACTTTTGAAAGATTCAATTCAGAGCAGATTTTTCTGTGCTTGAATAGCTGCCTTTTCTCGATGTCTAGTCTTTGTTGAATAGCTCCAAGATGTAAGTTTGAATGTAACCTGGATAAACAAGATGAATCAAAGCATTCTTTATCTAGAGAAGAGAAAGAAAGGCAAGAAATAATATACCACTAGCTCTTAAGTGCATTTCTCATCCTGATGTACTAACTGAGCGTGACATTGACCTGAGCATAGTTTCAAACAATAATAAGCATTTTTATAGCACCATTCAAAGGAAAAGTTGCAAAGTGCTTCATGGGACAAACAGTGATATAAAGTTTTAAAACAGGTAAAGGTGAAACAACATTAGGTCAGTAATGAGTTCGTGAGCGTAGTTTCAGACGGTGTTTTCTACTCTCGGCTCTGTATGACATCGAAGAGAGTGGATATCCCTAATATGGTCATCTCAGGCATACGGCTCCACCTACTGTTCAAACCGTTCTGTTTATGGGCTTCAGCCAATCAGAAGAAACTTGTCTTAAAGGGGGTGGAGCTAGAACAGCTTGTTTCATACACAGGAGTAGCACCAAGGCCCCATTTAAGAAAGAAAAAAGATTTTGTGAAACGTAACTCATGCAAGGCTACTTGAGTCCATGAATAAAATATGGAGTTTGAATTGAATTCAGCATAATGAAAATTTATACCTTCAAAAGCACTATATTTTTATGATAAAATAAAGTACACAATTTAAGGGAAGTTATAAAGAATTAAACAAGTTTTATAATTAAACGGATCTATATTTATTTAATGTTGCGCTTAAAGACTGTATAAGAGCATGTCTCATAAATATTAACTATGATTTACTGGGTGCAACAATAGGCATCCCTGCAATTATCCTCAAGTGGATCAGCAGCCTGTGATGTGTGCCGGGACACTGCGGCACTGTGAAGGTAATGCAGACCTTCAGAGACATACAGTAAACACAAATAGCTAAATTTATGAGATGAAAGCCTGCGTGTTTCTGTGTGTTTCTGTGTGTTTCTTTGGTAATTTAAAGTCTAAACCTCCCACAGGATCCAGACGATCCATTTGAGAGAGCAAGAGAGCCACGCTGCATTTCAGGCAAGGCCCGCTGGTAATTTGACACTGCGAGGTTCATTTCACCTTCAGGATTATCATAATCTCCATTGAAGTGTAGCCTAAAAGCCTAAAAAAGACCGGCCATCAGCTGACTATGCCAGCGAAGGTCAACAGTGGAGGAAGCGTTCGTGGATGAAGCTGAAAGCTGTTCGGGATGCAGGATGATGACACAATGCTGATTTTAAGTTTCATTAAATTCTCTGCGATGATATGAGCAGAACAGACGACAGATAAAGCCGGCGTGCTATAATTTGAGGTGTATTTTTAGCATGAATGCATTATTAATCAGTATTGATTGCTGATTTTCACAGCGGAGGTCAGCAGAGATACTCGAGCTGTTTGCTGTCCTTTCGTTATGCACAATGGGTTGTTGATTTGAGAGATAAATGCTCCCTGCGACCTTAAAGACTCCTGTCAGGCGTCAGTTAAGGACGTTCTAACTCTCAATTTTCATTCAGGCTCGTACAGTCACCACTTTGAGCTGACGCTGGCAGGTCGCTGGGATGCTGTAACGCTGAGGCCAGGGCTAAAAACTTTCCTTCACTGTAACTTCATTCAGAAAACACAAATTTAAAATGTGATGGAGCTCAGTTATCAAAAAGCATACACGTTACTTATTTTATTCTTGAGTAGCTTTGCATGAATAGTTATTTTTTACTCCTCATTTTATCTACTATAAGCTTTTTTTAATACCTCAGATTTAATCTGATTGGCTGACCCTTAAGCGTTTGAACAGCAGGTGCCTGGTGCTCTGTAGTTTTATGTCATACAGAGCCAAAAGTAGAAAAAACTGGCTGAAACTGAGCATATGGGGCAGCCCGAGCTTTCAGCTCACAGGGTTAATTCTGCATCCAGTCTTGTAAAAGTATAAATATGATGGAAAATAAGGAAAAGCATAATAGGTGGTTGTGTTATGAGGAGCAATGTATTATCCAAAACACAATGTTTTCCTGAACTGATAAAAGTAGTTTTTAGTACCCGAAAGCAAATAGTAAATTAAACACAGCATCGACTCTCTCTAGCAGTGGTCTTATCTGCAGAGGGACAGTAACTGTTGCCCCAGGACGAGAACACTGGACAAGCCTTTGTTTTTGCACTTGATGGACTCATCGTGAAAACCGTGGAAATCCATTTATAATACCAGCGTCACTAACAAGCACAAACACATTTACATGCTGTTGAAGAGAACTGCTTTGAATATGATAACAATCTCTGTAATTACAGAGAAGATGAAGATGGTTTGAAACCACCAGTCAGAAATATGCATGTTAGGTTAGTTTGTGATTCTAAATTGGCTGTAGGTGTAAAGGTGCCGAATAGTTTCTTTATGTATTTGACGTGCACCTGTCCAGGGTGTACTCCACCTCTCACAGTCATCTGGCTCTAGCTCCACGATTACCGTGATTTGGATAAGCGGCGAGCACACAGAACAGCAAATGGTCAGTAACTGCCTGATAAACGCTTGTCA